CCAGCAGCCCCGCCAATGGTGAGGGGTGCTCTTTGCCGCCCGGATCCCCTGCGCCCTGCCCATGCCCTGAAGCAGAAAGTTTGGGGGTCGGGGACTGCCTTCCTCTTCCCCTGCAATGACTGCCCAAGGACTCCTGCTGCCCAGCTTGGACTGTGACCTGCCTTCGTTCCTCAGGTCGGAATGAACTCTTCCAAGGCTCCCCCCTCCTCGCCCCTCCCTCATCCTCCTTAAAATTTTTTTTATTTTCTAAATTCAAAAAAATCGTGATCTGCTGACTCCCCTCCATAATTTAGACCCCAGATCTTCATTTCTGAATGTAAGAGGGGGTGCGGTCTCCCCCAAGACGGCGCGCTGGAAGGACAGGTTCCCCTTGCCGACCCACATACACCATGAAGAGGTGCAAATCGGACGAGCTGCAGCAACAACCGGGTGAGGAGGATGGAGCTGGGCTGGAAGATGCAGCTTGCCACCTGCCAGGCGCGGAACTCCGGCCTGGGGAGGCCACGGGTGCTAACTCCGCTGGCGGGCCAACTTCAGATGCGGGCGCTGCGGCGGCGGCACCCAACCCGGGTCCCCGAACTAAGCCTCCTGATTTAAAGGTGAGCGCAGACCATCCCTTGGCAAGCCCAGCCCGCGACGTAGCTTTCCCCTCCCCTATCGAAGTGCTTTAACTGTACAAAAGTGATGGGGAAGCCAGGCAAAGGTCAACGAGGATGAGAGGATGTTCCGCTAGAATCCTAGAGGGGACATCAGGTACCATTTGAGCCTCAGTCTGTCAGCTCCATTTCAGGCCTATGTGTTTGTTCCCTTTTATTCAGCAGACGTTCTAGTGACTCACCCATCTGAGATTGCTTGAATAACGTGTGTGAAGTGCTATTCGCAGACAAAGGGCTGGAGAAATTCAAGATGCTACCTAAAAAGTTGATATCACTTTTCTCCTGTAGGATGGCAGGGGAAGAAGATTGCTGGGTGGGAGGCCAAGTAGGTGACCCTTAGTCTCTTTTGCCAGTTGCTCCTTGGGAATTTTTGAGCCCCTTCCCTGGGTGAAGCTCAGTTTGTCCATCTGTGAAAGGGGGGTGTGGATTTCTTGCCGTTAGGTGGAGCCAGAGGTTAAGCGAGTGCTTGGAGATCCCTGCCTGCCGAACCAACCCCCAGGGTGGAGAACTGACAGGTGGCGGAGCAGTGCTGGGGCTGGCTGGGGCCTCGGTTCAAGTTGCACACACGCTGAGCCGGCAGCTAGAACCAGAATCCACAAGAGCCTTTCACATGGAGCTGTTTATTTTCCAGCCTGAGGTTGTCTAGACAATTGGCGAGCTGCATTGAATCTATCTCTTTATCAATTAAAACAGCAGCAGAGATAAATAATGTACCTTTGCTGGAGCCGCCACAGAAACCGTGGGCTTAGGCTCTTCCAGCCAGTTCAGGAAGGAGCTGAGCGAGATGTCAGCCCCAGGAAGGAACTTAGATGCCTTGGAGATTGATGCCTCAGGGGATTTTCTGCAGAGACCGTGCAGGGTCTGGGCTAGGGGAGCGGAAAGGACTCCCATTAGGTAAATAGAGCCTGTGTCCTATGGCAGCGGGCACTAAGGAACTCACCAGAATAAGCCAATGACATTCCTCATTTGGCCTGAGCGGCTTGGAGTCAGGAAGTCAGAGCACAGGTGAGTGTCTGCTTTTACCTGGGTATGTTTGTGGTCTGTGTTCCTCTATTCCTTGGGGAGGGGGACAGCCAGCTCCTCATTGTGTGTCCTTTTAAAAATTTGTGGTAGTTATTCCCATGGGACTTCTGGTTCTGCCACTGCCCTTTTCAGAGGTCTGTGGCTAGCCTGGGGTCTGTAGATGGGCTCTGTTGGATAGGTTTTGTGCATGAAGCTTGCCCAAGTCCTTGGTGTCTGTCCCAGCTGTCACCTCTGAGTCTACCTTGTGTGATCAGCAGTTGTTTCCTGTTTTATGTGAGACGATGAAAGGAAAGGGGTGCCCTGGATGCCGTGGGGCGGGGGAGGCAAGTCAGAGGAGCTGCACTGGCCCAGATGGGACCCTCACTGTGAGGCCAAGAGAGGCAACCTTGGAGACACCCCCACTCTCCATTCTGTCCCCCTGATGCCTTCTTGAGAAGAGGGGCTGGCCTCAGTGTGGGGGCTGCAGCATCTTTCTCTGTCAACAGGCTGCCTTAACCTCGCTCCTTCCTACTGTCCTTTATCATCCCTTTTCTCTTTCTTTCTTTCTTCTTTTTTTTTCTTTCTTTCTTTCTGTGGCACCCTCCTTCTGGTTAGGGGCAGATACAACAATTCTGTACTTGATATTAACTACTGAAACTACTAAACTGCCCTGAACCAGAATTAAGATCAGGTATGAGAAGAGGACCCCCCTCCAAAAAATAAAAAAAAAACACCCCACAATGTGAGCCGAGCTGCCGCCTGCTCGTGGGAGCAGGGGAAACACAGGAGCTTTTCCTGTTTATCTCTGTCTGCATGTTTACTATAGCATAGCATGTTTACTATAGGAAGGAGGCTTCCCAACCAAAAATTGAGGGCCACCATAATTTGATTGGTTGTGTGATCTCAGGCGAATCACTCAACTTTTCTGAGGGAAGGGAGTAGACATATGCTCACATGTCCAAACTTGTTTTTCAGTGCTGGAAAAGTTGTTTTCTATGGCTAACAGTTTTCTAGTGATGGAAAAATTCCACCATTGGCGCTGGAACTGGGTAGAAGCTGACTTGTTCTGGATGAGATATTGATGCCCAAAAGGGGCAATTTTCATTTTTAACCCGTGTTTGGTTGAGGCTCATCAGCAGTTCTAGTTTGCTTTTGTTTTAAATTTGAACTTTGTATGAAATGGGAACTTTTAGTCCCTTAATCTTGCTTCTGTTTTCTTATGACAACCGAGGCTCAGAATAGATTAAGTGCATTAGAGAAAATCATCTTGAAAAAGGGACAAATAATCATAAGAGGCTATGTCTAAAATATCTCCATGGTAGGGGAGGAAGAAGAGAGAATTTTAGTCTTTGCCAAAGAGATGTGACTGACACTTCACTAACCAATGGTATCATAGACCTTTGGTCTCCCTCTGGTCCTTAGCACTGTAGAGTTTTGAACTGTGCACTGTACATTTCTCTTTTTTTTTCTCCCCCTGTAGTGCTGGGGATGGAACCCAGGGCTTCCTCCATGCTAAGCAAGCCACTGAGCCACACCTCCAGCCTGTAGGTTTCTTTTATGATGTCTGGGATCTGTGATTAAATGACAATCTTAAAACTGTAACTATAACAGAAAAATAACCTGAAAATGGGCATTTTGTCCCCCTGCCCCCAAAGCTTGTAAATACTTTGGGAGCCATCTCTACCACTCAAAACCTTGTGTGTCCTTGGGGGTAGTCTTAGAAGATAGTCATTCACTGGGAGCCTAACACATCAGTCATACTCCCCAGCTACTTGGTTGGAGTCCTGTTAAACCCCTTGAGCTGATATCTCTACTCACTTATTCTCATTATCCAGTCCTTTGCTGCCACCAGATTCCCTGCTGGTTGGGAGCAGATGCTGGGATATCTGGCCACAGAGTGTGCTCATGAAAAGCACAGCAGAATTCTCCAGCAAGGAGACCCAGCTCCAGTGAGAATGGGAGTAGAGAAGAATTTAGGGGAACCCTGCAGAAAGAGATCCTGTTAAAAATACAACTTGTAGCTTGGTGAGGTGGTGTACACCTGTAATCCCCAGTATTTTGGAGGCTGAAGCAGGAGGATCACAAGTTTGAGGCCAACTGGGGCAACTTTGTGAAAGTCTGTCTCAAAAATCAAAACAAAACAAAAAAAAAAGGGCTGGGGATGTAGGGCAGTGGTAGAGCACCTCTAGATTCGATCCCCAGTATCAAAAGCAAAACAACAACACCAAAAAACCCAGCATATAGAGATATCGAGGCCTGGGATGAGTGACTGAGCATAAGATTGTGCTGGTTCTGTCCTGAGAGACTGGAGAAGGCTGAAGTCAGGGGAGGACATTGCTCTCCTCACTTCTCCCTACCCAGAGGAATTGAGCCTTTCCTGAAAGGAAGGGTCAGGGGTGCTGGCTATGGGCCTTCCTGGATTCTCCTGAGGTTCTCTTTTCCCTCACAAAAACCCCAGGAATAATTTCCCTGGGAATTTCTGAGCAGTATTAATGTCTTTCCCTGAGGACAAAAGGGTGCTGGAAATCCCATTGTTCCCCTTTGACTCAAGACTGATTGGAGTTCCAGCTCCTGTTCTTCTATTCATGTGCTACTCTGGTCTTCCTGCCTGCTGAGAAAGAGCAGGAAAAACAATTAGAAGCCAAATAGCTGTGGGGAAGAGGCAGATGTTCTATCCCTTCTCTCCCTGCTGGCCCAACCTTCGCTGGTGACCACAGGTGCTCAGTCCCATGACCAGCCCAAGTTCTTTCAACGTGCCTGTGAAGAGCTCACTGGAGAAGGCTTGGTTCTGTCAAAGCATATTGGACACCTTCAGCAGAAAAAGCACAGTTCTATTTTCATTTTCCTGTTTTTTACTTGTTTATTAATTTTAGCCGGGCTGGGAATAGAACCCAGGGCTTCGGCCCACTGCTCATCCCTGTGCTTCACCTCCAGCCCAAGGCACTGTTTAAAATAGTGAAGTAGGACATGCATATAAAAGTGCCTGAAAACAGATGTGCAGTTTAAGTGACAAAAGCAGAAGGGACACCTCATCTGCTCATTGTTCAAGTCAAGAAAAAGAGCATTGATGTCCCCAAGAAGCCACTGCTTGTTTTTCTTTGTTTCTTTGTTTCTTTTTTTTTTTCTGTTGTTGTTGTTTGCTTTACTTTTTTTTTTAAGCCCAGTGCTTTGTTAAAGTTTGTGGGACTCAGTTTCTCCCCTCCTCCTTTTTTTTAATATTTATTTTTTAGTTGTAGTTGAACACAATACCTTTATTTTATTTATTTATTTTTATGTGGTGCTAAGGATTGAACCCAGGGCCTCACACATACTAGGCAAGAGTTATACTGCTG